GCCGAACTAGCAAGCCTCAACAAGTTTTTAATTATTACACCAGGAGCCAAAGTTCTGTTTCAGGAAATCAGACTCCCAGCAATTGGCTATAAAATGAGCTGTGCAAGGGGTCATACACCACTGGTGGGCAGCATTGTACATTTATTGTACATGAATTGTAGGTAGGTAGGTAGGTAGCTTGGTAGGTAGGTAGGTGTCAAATTGAACCTGCACTTCAAAATTAGCTTCTGCTAATATTTCTATTGCATAAGCAGTTTTGAAGTTGCAGACCTAATGGTTTATTCTCAATCAATGATGAATCAAACATTTGAAGAGAGTCTCGTGTTGTTGGATGAGGAGTCAGAAGAGGAAAAACTTTTGTCAACCACAGAGACGGAAATGAGATGTGGACATCAGTTTTATATTTGTGTCCTCATTAAATTCAGACTAGCTGCTCCTCGAAGCTGTCCATCTAGTTCTGGGAGCGAATCGTTTTCAGAAAAATGCACAAGCAAATTAAAAAGTTCGGACCAATTACACACTGAAAATCTCATCAGTCTGACATGAGGAGTTCTGGGTGAGGCTGTAATTCTAGAATCATTAAMGGGTTAWAGGTTCAGTCTCCAWAGAGACTCAACACTTCAACACTGAACTGGAGTCAGTCAGAGCCTTAAGAAGGGTAGAGTTAATGAAGGGATAGTCACCTAACCCCAACCCTCTTCATGGAAAATCAAATATCCAGCAGAGGGAGACATAACCACACATCCTAACAGTGTTTTGAAACATCTGGTCTCAGCATCATTACAACTTTGTTTTTTGGACAAAAATCAGAACCTCATGACAGCAGTGCTCCATAAAAAACATCACACTGAAAAATGATTCAGTAACATATCAAACATATAAAAAGTCCCAGGCTTTAACCAGTGGCYTAGCCAGAAATTGATTTTAGGCTGGGCCTGAGAAAAAATGGGTGGGCCAGATCAGGGGCGTCTGATTTTACCAGAGGGTAAGCACAAAACCATCACCTCACCTGACCCCAAAAAATACACACCACATGGGTGCAATGCGTGTAGCACACAAAACTACCAACGTGACACCAGGCACCTAACAACCAGGTCCTAACAACAAAAGGCCACATGAGTGCGATGCCCATCGCATGACGATGAAAAACAGCGCTTCTGTCCCACAAAGCCCAATGCACCCAACGCGGCGCACACACTATCGGGTTTTCAACTTGATCACTTTACAAAAAGTTGAAAGAAAGAAAGAAAGTAATAAAAATATGACAAATGTTATGCAGTGGATGTGCAACATTATTCTCTCGGATTGCCTCTTCTGTCTCTGCCTGAGGAGGAGGAGAGAGAGGAAGGCAACTGTCATTCAAAACGCGCTGCCGTTACTGTAAAAACAATTAGCCTAAATAAAAACAGTGCAATAATACGGATTTGATTTATGCAGACAAGGTAATATATAATGATATAAGTCAAATAATTATATTAAAATAGTTTTTAAATCAAAGGAGAATCTCAAGGTAGGTCTATGCACAGTGCCTATAGCTTCAGGCGCCACTGAGATAAATATGATTGAAAGTACTTTTATTTGTAAATTCCACTTTTGCTTAAATAGAATTGTGTCTATATGGCCTATGTCCATCTACACCCACCCACAGCCACGCCCCTGGTTTGAATGTTGTGGACTGGATTTTTGGTGAAGCCATTTGATAGTCTTGTTTTTAGAAAGAAAAACTTAGAGCAGAGGTGCCCAAACATTTTCCTCAAGAGGGCCAAAATGAAAATGTATTCAGGGCTGTGGGCAAAATGCAGCAATATAATACATGAAATACAAATACTTTTTAAGTAAATTCTTTATTTTTAACAATTAAGCTAGCAGCCAGTGTGGTGG